CCTCCTCCTTCTCTTTCTCCTCCTCCTCAACTTCCACCTCTTCTTTCTCCTTTCCCTCCTCCTCCTCCCACTCCTCTTCCTTCTCTTCTTCCTCCTCCTCCACTTCCACCTTCTCCTCCTCCACTTCCTCCTCTTCTTTCTCCTCTCCCTCCTCCTCCTTCCCGCACCCACTTCCACCTTCTCCTTCCCTGTCTTTTTCTCCCATTGTCCAGAAACCATATTGACTCTGATTCTAACGAAGCCACAAGCGGTGTGAACAAGGACACATGGCTCTCAACATCGGTCGCGCTCGCTTTTTCCCCTTTTCGGAATTTCTCTGTTTCGTCTTCCATTTTTCTATTTCTCTTTCTGTTTTCTTTTTTCCTCTCTGTCATCTCTGAAATTCTCCCTTTTGATATGGTTTATTTTCTATTGATATTATGGTTGTGATGTTGTTTTTTTTTCCTTTTCGGAAATTCTGTTTCGTCTTCCATGTTTCTATTTCTCTTTCTATTTGTTTTTTTCTCTCTTCATTCTTCTTTTGTTTTGAGATTCTTCTTTTTGAAGTCGTTTATTTTATTTTGATAATATGGTTGTGCTGTGTTTTGTTATGCGAACAAGGTGGAAAAAAGAAGAGAAAAGAGAAAAAAAATGACGGGCGTAAGATGTAAGCAAACATGGACCGGTGTACCGTTATTTATTTATTTTATTCTCCATCAGCGACTATGCTCTATGTTATGATATGAGGATTATTTTCAGGAAATTATATCGCCGTTCGCCTTATTCCTCCTCGTTTACTAAATTTTACGAATGATTTTCCCGATATGAAGATAGAGAGGACGAAAAATTATGCAAGAGGAAACTAACGAAAATTTAAGTTAAAACGTGGACGGTTCGATTGCGAAAGACGGAAATGGGCACGCAAACAAGCCAGCAAACAAGCAAGCAAGCAAGGCAACACACACACACACACACACACACACACACACACACACACACACACACACACACACACACACACACACACACACGTTAGACAGACATGGATGTACAATAGATAAATAAAGAGATAAACTGAGATACATAAGTAAATCGATAAATGAAGAGACAAAGATAGTAAAAAGTCCCACAGATAGATAGATATCCAGAGAGGGAGACGAGCACTCGCACGCACACGGAACCAAGTCGACGTCCGCACGGTGGAAGATACATGCAGATACTTCGATAAAGTTTTGCGCTCGGGGAAGAAATCCCTTTTCCTCTCCCGTCCGCCCGCCTCGCCTCGCCTCGCCTCGAGAAGTACAGCCACGGATAGAAAAGTAGAGTCGCTTCGTGAATGAAGCTTCGAAAAAAAAAACCTTCATAAAAACCCTTTTCGTAACCCCTAAACAACACACTCCGCGTCCCTTTCGGTGTTGGCGATGGACGGAATTCGAAAACAAGCTTTGACTCGAGTTTTGACCGCGACTTGTACTGTAACCTTTCGCTATTTCCGGTTGTCCTTATCGCCGTCGTCATCGTCGTCGCCGTCGTCAATTCGCAACGAGTGAGTTGAAACTTTGACGAGCGTGATGGACGACCGATACGCGACCCGGAAATCGATATGGTGTCAATAAAGAGCTTTGCCATCTTTCCCGTTGGCGCTGGTCGAGATAACGAAGACATTCGGTTATAAAAAACAACAACAGCGGGACCTGGGGTGTGTTTGCCGAGCTTCTCTTGAAGAGGGTTCATTCTTGTGGGGGGGGGGAGTAAACAAATCTACGAAGTAAAGAAATCTACGAATATCATCCATTTATTAAGAAAACCGAATTATTATAGAAAGAAAAATAAACTTACATATTCAAGAATCGATAAATGGCCGTGACTCGTTACTATACTTATCAACATACAAAGGGTCGAATCACGGAAGAAAAAGAAAAGAAAAAAAAGGAGAAGAACAGCTTAAAGGCGCAGTATCTCGACGTGGGGGAAAATGTGCGCCCACTCGACCCCACTCGCTCCTCGGGTCATGTGCGTGAGGCTCCGCGTGTACGTTTAAGTTGATTTCGTGTGCGTGAAGATCCTCTCCTGCGCGTGTAAGTTGCTTTCGTGTGCGTGAATTCATTTACCGTGTGCGTGGAATTATTTTTCGTGTGTTCGAGGTTCTTTTCATGTGCGTGAAAGATCTGTTCCTATCCCTTTTTTTTAAATCTTGTGTGCGTAAACTTTTTTTTCGTCGGACTGAAGTTCATTTCATGTGCACGAGGCCCTTCCATTTGTTAGGACGTGTGGAGATCTTTCCGCGTGAAGTTTGGCCGTGACTTTTTTCGGACACTGAATCGTCATTAATTAAGGGGCCGAATTAATTACATAGAGGATTCAGTGCGCGGGACAGGTTTGCAAGCAAGAAGGACGGATGGCGGCGGTGATTTCCTGGAAAGTTCGCGGGATCTGAAATATTGTGATTGTGTGGTTGTTTCTTTTCTTTCTTCTCTTATCACGAATCTTACCTTTATTCCTGGTATCTAAAGAAAAGGGGGGGGGGAAAGAACTTCTACCTGTTTTTTTCTCTTCTCCTGTTCTTCATCTTCTATTTCTTCGTATTTTTTTTCTTCTTCTTCTTCCCTCCCTCCTTCCCATCTATTCTCTTCCTCTCCCTCGCTCGACTTCCCTTCTTCCCCTCTTTTCCTCCCTCTCTCCCTTCCTTCCTTCCTTCCCTTCCTCCCTCTCTCCCTCCCTTCCTTCCTTTCCTTCCTTCCCTTCCTCCTTCCTTTCCTTCCCTCCTTCCCTTCCTCCCTCCTTCCTTCCCTCCATTCCTTCCATCCTTCCTCCCCCTCCCTCCCCACTTCCCGACTTAAACTATCCGCTTGAATAAAACCACAGAGAAAGTCAGCCATAACGCAGATTTAAAGACACAGTAGATAACGCAAAGAGTAGATCGCGTCCCTTACGCTCTAGAAGTCACACGCGAAGGGGAGGAAATTGGACTTCTTCGCTGACATCCTCGTCCGTTTCCCCGATGTCCTTCTCCAAGTAGACATCAGCCGGGGTCCTGAGGGTTGTTCTTGCGTCTTCCGAGGTTTTAAAAGAAAAAGGCGATCGCGCTGTTGCATCGGACGGTTTAGAAGGGAGGGATATCGTTTGTGTTTTTTCGCTTTTCGGTAGTTTTATTATTGTTGTTTCCAGGTTTTGTTTTCGTTTTCAGTATATTGTCTTTACGCTTAACAGGTAGGCGAGTGTACGGTGTAATCGAACACGAAGTTGCTAATATAGGTGGCGGTTTCGTAATATGTAGGCCTATGTATGTTTTCTTTCTGGAAACCGCTAGTATACGTTTGTTTTTTACTTTTCTTTTCTCACTTTTTTGTGTTGTTATTATTATTATTATTATTATTATTATTATATATATATATATATATATATATATATATATATATATATATATATATATATATATATATATACATATATATATTCTTTCCGGGGAATATGAAACGAAAAGTGAATTGGCATGCTAAATGGGGTATCATATCGTGGGAAGCGGACAAACCTACGCGTTTGAGGGACGCCTCGTTCGCCAAACGCAGGCAAGCAAGTGCTGGGCGTCGCTTGTTCAGGTAAATTAATTTCTGCTTTGTGTATGTCGCTGGTTATATCAACTGAGTATGTGCCTGGGTTGTCTAGATGACAGGGCCTAATGGGTAGTTTGGAAATGCAATATCCGGTATATACTTGCAACTGTGTTCCGGGCGGTGCGGTGCAGTTCATATTGTTCAAAGTTCTGAATAGTCTGTCTGTCAAGAGGTTGGAGGTGGCAAACGGGCGGTGTCGATGGCGGAGACGCAAAGGTGCTGATTGAAGTGAACTACATATCGCGTTGAGATGCCGAGCGACAAGGTACATGTCTTCTCCTTTTCGACTGGCAATGCGTCCTGTTGGTTGCGAGGACGCGTGGTGTTTTATGAATATCAAGCGTAAAAGTACTTCTAGATCACACAAGATAAATGTCTTGTTTGATTCCCGATATTTGTTTTTCCTATTTGGTTCTTTGGGAGATGTTTGTAAGGATTATAATTGTTTCATGTGAAATTATTATCTCTGGCTTTGCAATAACACTATGACGCATGATGTATAGTGCCAACCACGAACCTTTTAGCTCCGAGTCTGTTAATATCACAGAGGTTATTTTTAGCACAAGGCGCGACTTTATCTGGTGTTATGGCTACAAGGCAGAGTGTACGTACATTAGCATCAATACGGTGGCTGGTTTTGCAAAGAGAAACGCATACATTCAATTACTACTTTTCATGTGAGTATCATTGCGAATAATGCGAAGAAGAACCACAGGAGCGCCAGTTATTACACAACATCTTTGAGGCGAAAACAAAGGAAAAAGGCGACCCAGGAATCCCCTGTACTTGTCCGAATAGGGGAACAGATCCCAGACCTTGCCACAGACCCCAGCAGATCATCAGCTTGACACACACACACACACACACACACACACACACACACACACACACACACACACACACACACACACACACACACACACACACACACACACACACACACAAAACAAACTCACGCACACAACAAACACACACACAAACCCAAGCCGTAGAGACAAGCTGTAGAGATCTTGACGTGACGTAGAGGTGTGTTTTCTCTTTTCTAACGTCTTAATCTTCACTTCTCCTTCCAGCTCTCGGGACTCTTTTTATCGAAGGTGAGTGAGCGATCCCCTCGTCCCTGCTACGTCACTGTGGACTCTCACTGTCTTCGTTTCTCTTGTTTTCGTTTTCTGTTATGTTTTTTTTTTGTTGTCCTTTTCTCTCTCCTTGATATTTTAGTTTTCTTTCGTTTTATTCTGTTCGCTGTATTTTTTTATCGTTTCTCGTATTCGCCTTTTTTCTTCTCTCTCTCTCTCTATCTATCTGTCTGTCTATCTATTTTTTTTCCACTCATTTATCTCAGTTGTCGCCATGACGCTGTGCTATGTGTTTATGCCAGACCTATGACCTTCACCTATGACCTCTATGACTTCACCTTCACCTATGACCTCTGACCTCTCACCCGCCTTCCCTAGGCACTGTATCAGCTTCAGTGATACTATACTCTCGCTAGACTATCGCATACTTCCAAACATGACTGTAGTTCACGACAGAAACATCTTAACACAACACACTCCATTCTGTGAACATTTCGAAGGGTGTACGAACATACTGTGCACCTCCCCCCCACCCCCCACCTCCCCTACCCCGCCTCGTCCCCTTTCCAACAGAGTTTTTTTTTTTAAGCCTCTGTCAGTGCGTGGGTCTTCTGTTGACAATAATATTTACGTGTTTAAGTGCGAATGATAAATATCACAAAGGGAAGCCGCTAAAAAAGGGAGTAGCTATCGATACTAGAAGAATCAGTTTGGGTTATATACCAAATACAGTAATATATATATATATTTTTTGTTCAGAAGAGTCCTTACAACGAGTACATATATATAACACGAATGCCAGGTTCGAAAGGATGGTCTTGTTCTTTGTACAAAGGAGAAATATTACGAAATACATTGCAAAGGCTCACAGTGCCGAGTAAGGCATGCAGACCTTGCACCCAAAACACACCAGCAACATCATTTGTAATCATTTTTTTATTTAAAGATTTATTAATATGATTTACAGAATTATTGTTTACAGAGAGTTATTTCATTCTGTCCTTAAATGGGGAAAAGTTTGAGTAACAAAAAATTTCCTAAGTAACCCCCTCCCCTTCCCTAAATCACCCCCTCCCCTCCTTCCCTAAGTCACCCTCTCCCCTCATTTCCTAAGTAACCCCCTCCCCTTCCCTAAATCACCCCCTCCCCTCCTTCCCTAAGTCACCCTCTCCCCTCATTTCCTAAGTAACCCCCTCCCCTTCCCTAAATCACCCCCTCCCCTCCTTCCCTAAGTCACCCTCTCCCCTCATTTCCTAAGTAACCCCCTCCCCTTCCCTAAATCACCCCCTCCCCTCCTTCCCTAAATCACCCCCTCCCCTCCCCTTCCCTAAATCACCCCCTCCCCTCCTTCCCTAAGTCACCCTCTCCCCTCATTTCCTAAGTAACCCCCTCCCCTTCCCTAAATCACCCCCTCCCCTCCTTCCCTAAATCACCCCCTCCCCTCCTTCCCTAAATCACCCCCTCCCCTCCTTCCCTAAATCACCCCCTCCCCTCCTTCCCTAAGTCACCCTCTCCCCTCATTTCCTAAGTAACCCCCTCCCCTTCCCTAAATCACCCCCTCCCCTCCTTCCCTAAATCACCCCCTCCCCTCCCCTTCCCTAAATCACCCCCTCCCCTCCCCTTCCCTAAATCACCCCCTCCCCTCCTTCCCTAAGTCACCCTCTCCCCTCATTTCCTAAGTAACCCCCTCCCCTTCCCTAAATCACCCCCTCCCCTCCTTCCCTAAGTCACCCTCTCCCCTCATTTCCTAAGTAACCCCCTCCCCTTCCCTAAATCACCCCCTCCCCTCCTTCCCTAAGTCACCCTCTCCCCTCATTTCCTAAGTAACCCCCTCCCCTTCCCTAAATCACCCCCTCCCCTCCTTCCCTAAGTCACCCTCTCCCCTCATTTCCTAAGTAACCCCCTCCCCTTCCCTAAATCACCCCCTCCCCTCCTTCCCTAAATCACCCCCTCCCCTCCTTCCCTAAGTCACCCTCTCCCCTCATTTCCTAAGTAACCCCCTCCCCTTCCCTAAATCACCCCCTCCCCTCCTTCCCTAAGTCACCCTCTCCCCTCATTTCCTAAGTAACCCCCTCCCCTTCCCTAAATCACCCCCTCCCCTCCCCTTCCCTAAATCACCCCCTCCCCTCCTTCCCTAAGTCACCCTCTCCCCTCATTTC